TCATACCAGACTGTGTTGATAGGCTTATAGAGGAAATCAAGCCCAACTCAGTGAGGGTAATCTATTCTTCCATGTCTGTTCAGACATGATCATCACGCCCAGGTGTCTGTGATATCACTATCGCCAGAACTGTATGCGTTACGGAAAGTTGTAGAGATGACTGGTGGCACCTTCTCTGTTGCTACTAGTCCTATACATTTCAAACGTTTAATGCAGAGTAAGTTCTCTGTTCGCTACCAATTCTCAACTCTAGGGTAATCAGAGCATCTCACGCCACCAAATTGGGTGAGCTCCCCGAGCTATATCAAAATGGGATTCCCAGTACGAAGAGCATGCGATGGTAACCATACAGCAGATCCACCAATAAAGTGTATGTGTCACAATAGGCTACAAAAGACCTTCGTGTGAGTCTTGCTAAACAGTGTCGTGACAGTGAGTTATGCCTATAAAATCAGGTACATTTGTCCACAGTGTCACAGCCCAGTCTGTGAGATACCAGTTAACTGTCCAGTATGTAGACTTCCCTTAGTGGATGATGATGCGCTGAAGAAACATCATCGACACATTTACTCTATGCCAACGTAATCAAGTTCCTACTTCCCAGGTTGATGAGTCTAATACAGGTACACCTTACTACCGACGGTAGACTACCCCAAGTCCTATACATGCCAATTTTGTGGAACTGACTTCACAGAGGGCGGCGCTAGATGTGATCAGTGTTTGAGTGATGTTTGCTACGAATGTGATATGTTTGCTCATAACAAGCTCCGTCACTGTCCTGGATGCTTGTAGTTTCTCAAGTACTGCGTGTTCCCGTTGGTTAAGTAACAACACAATAGATGATGTTTACATGTGAGGAAAAGGATGGGTTATATTTACACCACAACCTAGTGGACAGTGTATGCAGGACATTAAGGAAAACACATGACAACCGATCTACTTCAGCCGACAGTCGGCAGCCATAGAATGATAATCCTTACAAACGGAGAAGCCCATATCTTGAGAGTAACTATCTCCATAAAAACAGCGAGACCATTCCCAGTTATGGACCGCGAACAGTGTACCGTTGACGTCGAAGAGATGATCGAACTGCTCCTGAGTCACGACACCCTCCTCTACCATACGTTTGGTCAGATTGTTGAGGGTATTCCAGATGTACTCGATGCCACCATTAGCGTCAGGATAAGAGGAGGTATCCTTAGCGCACATCGACAGCTTACCACACCCATGGCCCATCTTACACGAGCCTTCGACCATAATCGTAATCTTGGCCTTGAGATCCTCCCAACCAGGCTTAGTGCATACGATGCATTGCTCGGTCATCATCCACTTCATGCGTTCGAGCAGATCATCCTCATAACTACCACCTAATTCATTTCTGTACAACATCATAAGGGCGTGGTCTGCATAACGCATAACGTATTCAGTCTCCTGAGAGTTTTCCTCACCCTCGATGGTACTATCAACGTAAATGGAGTTAGGTAGATACCCCATACCCTGAGTCACCTCGTTAATCATATCATGTGACTTCGTGAGAGCCTCCTTATAGTAATTATCGGCAATATGCTCAACATCAAAGCTGATACCAATAGGGGCTATCTCAGCCATAGTCTGCGCTGACACAGAGCGCATGAGGAACTGCTCGAAGGTCGTCACGAATCCCACCATCTTCTCGCCATTCTTATCGACAACATCACCATAAGTGAGCCAGATGACGCCGTTGTTACCAGTCTCCTGACGCCACTTCTTCATCCAGCTTACGAGCTTGGTCTGATCCTTAATGATGTTATAGTTCGAGGCATCAGCAATGTTGATATACAAATCTCCACAATTCCACTGACGGCCCATATCACTCGTAGCGAAGTTAATCAAAGAATCATCACCTTCCCTCCAATAGCTCTGGGACCAGGTATAGGTACCAATCTTATTCCCATTACACGCATCAGAGGAGATAGGCCTCGCAGTTGGTGGGAAAGGGGTACTAGCAGGGAATGTCACCGGTTGGTTAGGGTCATCAGGGAGAGCAGATGGCAAATTCCCACTACCTTTACTACCCCCTGTTGTCGAACATCCTTGCATGCCGAACATGAGTAACGTACAAGTAGCCGATGCTGCAGTAGACCATCTCATTAGAGGAACTAGTAGGATATGAGATGAAAAAGAAACCTACCATGAGTAGACTATGGTTGACTGAATACAAGGAGTATCACACGCGGTATGCAACGAGTTTGCAGTCATCACGATAACGTATCACACGAGGATAGCCGCTTGTATAGAGATTGGTTCTCAAGTTGGTCACGTGACGAAATTCTCTGATCATATCAAACCATACTTCATAGAATCACGTTTATCAATCCGTTTTCTGAATATTGGTGATACCAAGGTGAGGTGTTCTACCAGTTGAAAAAAAGCGATGGCAGCGAGTGGAGCAGAATCAAACCGTTCTGAACACTCGTTAAGCGACGAAGGTCGAGAGGAGGGGAGCACTCAAGAGACGATGGCCGCAGCCTTAGAGCAGAAGAACGTAATTGTGTATTGATGGTAGTTAAGGATCGTTTCAATTGAGATGTTCTACCAAATTTCAAGGACATCGAGAGTTCAAGTCGAAGCTGAGGGAGTTGCCATGGTACCACTGCATATATCAAAGAGTGAGCAGATTACATTGCTGAGGGAATGTTCATGAGATAATATGGTTACGAGCCAACATCGGATTCTCGTGTAGTACTCCTAAGAGGATGCTCAACACGTGGTAGTATGCACAACACGGGACAGTACAACGAAGCCAAGTTGTGTTGCACTTGTCACAATACCTCACTGTGACTTGCACTTGAAAAGTAGCACCTTACGGTTATGCATATGAAGCTCTTCTCGACGTTGGTGTCGGTTATACTGGCATTTTGCTTTTCTGGTTGTTCAACCGACTCGGGTAGTGACAGTAGCTCTGAGACTCTACCTCCTCAATTACCCTCGGACCCGAATCAGCAGGCTACGTTCCCTAAGACAACAGGCCCTCCTCCAACAACTAGACCCCCACCTACCAATGCATGCACTGGTCGCCCGATAGGCATTTATTCCTGGTCTCAAGATTACTGGAGTGAAGGAGATCCCGCTCTAACTGACTTCATCTCAAGCGATATGGGTAGGACGTGGAATTGTGGTGAGCTTTACATCAACGTGGCTGATCCTACAAACTACAACATCATCAAGTACCAACCGCAGCTAGTTGCTTGGATGAAGAAGTGGCGTCAGGATAGTGGGAACGATGCTATCATTTGGTTAACTTATGGTGATGTCACCGAAAGGGATGGTCAAAAGATGTGCGCCTTCGTAAACACTTTCGAGCAGTTCCTTATTCGCTCGGTTTCTGCCCAGGATATGGCAGAGATAGCGCCTATCGGTATCAGTTTTGATGTGGAGCATGTCCCTGATAATTACTACTTACAGGCATTGACCAGTTCGAGAGAGATGATTGCTAATGTTACCGAGGGTATGGGTTATCTACCCAATTCCATCTTTGTAGGTAGTACTATCGAGGGTGAGCCCAATCAGCAAGAAACTACTTATGTCATGCAGAATGCTGATAGGGCATTGATGATGCTATACCGTAACTCGGTTAATGGCACTAACAATGATGGTTTGTTGGAGCGTATGCAGTGGATGATGACAGACCAATGCGTCGTGTGTACGCAGCCCGGATGGGAGGACCTGAGAGCGAAGATCACTATCATGGTCGAAGGCTCCTGCGAGATGGGTAATGGTTGCGGTAAACTTTCTATGTGCGCTTATGATACGAGTAAATATCCCGATCCTGATGGGGGTATCGAGTATGTGTGGGACCAGTTAGAAGATCTCACTAGTTTGATGGTCCCAACAGGTATTGTCACACAGGAGCAGTACAATAAGTTATTCGATGTCAATGGTACACTATACGCAATACATAATTGGGAATGGTCTCGATGTTTCTATGGCGATCCCTTCTCTCAACAGATGAATTATACCGATTGTATTCAAAACTACCACCTTGATGCTGCAAGCTGCAGATTGGAGTAGAAGATGCTTGCGAGATATCTCGAATGATAAGTTGAATTCTGTTATGTGCTTTCTGTTCATGTTCCTACTATGATTTCTTGCGTTATCGCCACTGCATTTCAGAGATTTGAGTGTTCTATAAAATGAGATGCCACAAGTGCATTTCGAAGATCACTGGATTGAGTTTCTGAGTGCGTCACAGGGTAGTTGGACGTCGTGTTTATACACTTGAAGG